TCACCATGCAGATGTTCTAAATATAGTAAAATTTGATAATGATAACATTTACAGAAAATGATGCATGATGTTGGTGAAGTTAAAATACAAATTTGTCTTTCTGTATGTCAACATATGTCATTTGCCTCTCAGGGTTCTTTAGTAAGCCATGGAGGACGATGCCAGAGTGAGTATAAGTAAACATAAAGTCAGTGTGGTGCCATTGTGCCTTTGGTGTGTGTTTCTGATCCTTAAAACATTATGCTCTGGTCACACTGCATAACTTTCAAAGTCGTCAGCTTGCTGTACTGTTCACACTACACCACTTTCTGTCTTGTAATCAGAAGTCTTTGTGGTTTCCACACTACATGACGGATCAGCAACAGGGTGTCACAGACTAAAAGATATCCCAGGTCTCCAAACTATGATTCATCAGGAGTCATTAATTAATCCATTAATAACAAGCACATGAAGAGCAACCATTTACAGAATACTGCCATTAAAAACTGAGTACAATTAGCCTCATCTGCCAGCATCAGTAATCAGTAAACATTATTAAACCATTTAACAAATTAGTAGAAGTCAACATCAGACAACCTTATCATAAGTAATTTCCCCACGGGGATTATTAAAGTATTTCTGATAATGATTCTCATACATTCACAGTTAACTAGTGTTTCTGTGATGATGACAAAATATTAAAAAATCATAAATATTTTTGGTCTAAACTAAAAGCTTCTGTACCAAACTCCTTTTAAGAAATATGACATATACATTTTATAACATGTCCTTAAAAACACGTAACTCTAGAAACTCAAGGCTACCCGTGTCTGCTCTCAACAAAATCAATATGCCTATTGTGCATTCAAACATCAAAATAATGCAGTATTTTATTAATGTTTTTTTTTCTTCACAGGAACAACGAGGAAAATCTTGAATTTGTGAAATCTTACCAACCACGAAACAAGGATGTCAAACATCTCAGAATTCTGATTCATGGAGAAACCGGAGCCGGAAAGTCCAGTTTCATCAACTCTGTTGAAAGTGTTTTAAAAGGAAGAGTTACTGGCCGAGCTTTGACAGATGCCACTTCTGGGAGGAGCTTTACAGAAGAAGTAGGAATAACTGTTGTCTGTGGTGATTTTAAACAAAAAGTTTCATACATTTTTAAGAATTTCATATGGATTAAAAATATATCATAAACTTAATTGAAGTGGGTAAATTAGCATCAAGCATCTGACAACTGACCACATTCAGCGAGAAAAAGACAAAAACAACACAGTGGAAAGCAGGCTCATTAAGTGAATGGTGATCACAATAAATAATAATAACATATTATAATATGTAATGTATATATATAATATAATAACAAAGGGCAAGACCACGTGCCAACAGCCACAAAGTTCCTCCACCCAAGTCAAACTTATAGATGTATATATATATGGGTGTAATGTATTCTAGGGACTGTGGAGATTTGTTCACCATTTTTCAGTGTACATAAATTTGTATTTATAGAGAACCATTCAATGCTGAGCTGGGTGTTTGGACCACCAAACCCGGAGAATTTCGAATGTCCTGTTTAGAAGCAGCAGTTCAATAATCTTGATGACAAGGGAGTGGACATTTGCCAGAATTACTGACAGTGCATGACACTGTCTCAGCTTCTATAAATAAATATAATCTCTGTTGGAAGTGTGTTCCATTGATTTGTATCATTTCATAGCTTCCAGGTTTATCTCTGCATACTAACATCTCAAAGCTGAATAACACAGATAGCAAAATAGTAGATATTTGTGTTGGTGGAATTAGCTAACATGATGCAAATAACTGTACTTTCTCCTTTACAGTACACAACCTACAAAATCAAAAAAGAGTCAGGGAACTTTTATTCTTTCATTTTCAATGACACCATGGGCCTTGAGAAACCCAATGACAACGGAATTCATGTGGAAGACATCAAACTCGCCCTGAAGGGACATGTGAAAGAGGGTTACCAGGTACGATCCTTTAAACGCTGAGATAATTAAAGTGGCTCTGTGGAGTTTTCTTGAAAATACTAAGCATCCATGTTTATTACTGCAGCTAGCAGTCCCCATCTTTCCTGACTTTGCATTGCTGTATTTCTGGTGCATTACCACCACCTAATAGACCTGTGGAATAAGCTCAAATCATTGGCAGGAATGTGTATCCTATATAGCATAACTTAGAGAAAAACTGCTCCAAACTGTTTTTACTATTTTGCACACACACATTTTCACTTAAAAATGCATTACATTGTTCATAAAAAAGCATTATTTTATTTTATTGTTTTCTAGTTCAACCCTAAAAACCAATTGACGAAGAGTGATCAGCACTACAACTCATCTCCCACCTTGGATGATAGAGTTCATGTTCTGGTTTCTGTCTGTCCTGCTGACAAGGTGTCTTTATTAACTGATGAAGTTATAAAGAAGATGAGAGACATCAGACTAGCAGCCAGTAAAATGAGTAAGAGCAGGCATCAGTTGTTATTACTATGCATGGACTATTAAAAAATATTTTGAAAAAAAAATTAAAATACCAGCAAAATAAATGATTGAAATACTGATTAGGTTTCTGTATCGGCAGAGATTCCCCATCTGGCTGTCCTCACTAAGGTTGATCTGGCCTGTCCTGAGGCAAAAAAAAATATAAACAATGTCTACAAGAGCGACTACCTGAAGGAACAGGTAAGTTTCTGTTGGTGGTTTGGGGATTGTAGTTAAGAGGAAACAAGAATCTCCTTTGGTCACCACTTTGCAATTATTGATCAATGGAAATGCTGTTACTTTAAAACTTAGGTTGAGAAATTCAGCGAGACACTGGGCATTCCAGTGAACTGCATCTTTCTTGTGAAGAACTACAACTCAGAAATCGAGACGAATGATGACATTGATGTGCTGATATTGGTTGCACTGAGACAGATGATCAATTTTGGAGAAGACTTCCTCGACAACCTGTAGACCTATTTACTGCTGAGGTAAATCTTGCATGATTGCAAGAATTTGAAACTGTAATTTACATGGTTTTATGATGACTTTTTATTATCATTATTTATCATTATATCAACATATCATTATATCATCATTATGTGATTATGTATATCATGTGATTCTTTATCACAACCTTCCTAGTGGAATCAGA